AAATATTGTCCGATCTCAAAATAAAAAATTGCACTGGATTCTACATCTAAAAAGACAACTTTTCCGCATACCCGCCATATCAATATCTCAAATCCTTTTTTTTCGCTATCCTCTAGTGTTCAGCCGCCTCGGCGCGCCGTACTTCATTGTGGCTGACCAGGCCGCTACTTTCGAGTCGGAGAAAAGCCCTCCAGCAATGGCAAAGTTGGGAATTACATCCGTAGTCTCACTCGCCAGATTGCTCTGCTCGCTGCGGAGCCCAGTAACTGGCCGGACTTGTTACCGCACATTCTCCATGCGTACCGTGCCTCAGTTAGCACTGTCACTGGTTTCTCTCCTTACGAGATTCTGTTCGGACGGCAGATGCGTGTGCCTCAGGACATGCTACATGGGTTGCCTCCCACTAGCTGTCCTGATGACATCACCCGCCAGAAATACCCTGCTCGCCTGCGAGGGTTAGACAGAATCCATAAGATTGTCAGAGAAAACACAAACAGCGCTGCTATCCGCATGAAGGCACACTACGACAAGTACTCGACAATTACGTACTTCAAGCCCGGTGACATTGTGCTGCTGTACAATCGTCGCCGTCGGCGCAGAAAGACTACGAAATTGTACGCGTACTGGGAGGGACCTTATGAAATCGTTGATTTGCTCAATGATTGCATTGCTCGTATCGAGGAGGTCCGCCCAGCCGACTCTGTGCCCACAAAGGCAAAGCCGCTGAAACGTCTCATCGCACACGTTGACCGGGTGGCTGCCATTAGGTCGAACATGGTGGACCAAAATGGTCAGTGGCTGTCCTTTTTACCGCGACCCCTGACCTCTCCCTGTTCCCAGTTGCACGAGTCCAGGAGGGATCGAGAGATTCCTCTCTCTCCCCTAGCCGGCCGTCGTGAGACAGGCGTGATTCACTCGCATCTGACCTGGATACATTGGATCTGGCCGCAGATGACATGATGGAGGTCTCCAACATCCATGTCCTGCAGCCCTCCGTGCCCCGTGACCAGGTGGCCGTTCAGCCGGCCGCTAAGCCACGTGACCCCGCGGCTGCTACTGCAGCTATAGCGCAGCCAGTGCCGTCTGGACCAAAGGCAGATGCTGGCGCCAAGCGCTCTATGCAGGAGCCACCTGCAAAGGCGCCGAAGCGACGGCGCAAACAGAGCAAGCCGCCTGCAGCCCCCCAAGGCAAGCCGCCTGCGTCTGCAGCCCCGAAGGGCAAGAGGCCCCAGCAGAAGCAGGGCCATCCTCAGCCTCCCCAGAGGAAGGCCCCCCAGGGCAAGCCGCCTCTGCAGGTCCGTGGGAAGCACATCAAGCAGCCCCCCACGTACGACCAGCTGAAGGTGCAGCTGGACAGCGCGCTAGCTTCTGCGCGCCATTCGTCCGAGAGGCTACGCGTCTCGAGAGTGAGGTCCGAGACTTGCGCCAGAGGCTGGCCGCGGCTCCGCCCACGCCCCAAGCTTGGGTCCCCCAGATGGTCCCGAGCTACCTGCCCCAGCTGCCCATGCCATCCATGCAGCCCATGCAGCTATGCAGCTGCCTTTGGCGGGCTACCCGCACCTTCCTATGCCTCAGTGGCGTTTTGGATAAATCAATAAATTGTTTATCCCCTGTCGGTTGTTTTGTCATTGCATCCCTCCTTTTGCGAGTCGCACGGGAGAGAGAGAGCGTGCAAGTTCAAAACAAGTCCGCTGACTCATCAGCTGATCGCGGCCCCGCCCCGACCCGACTGGATGGATGGTTGGCAAACCTGGAGAACTTCAAGCAGACGACGCCCCCTTCCCTGCCTGCAGCATCCTGGTCCTGACCCAGCATCCCGACCCTCAAATAATTTAGGCAAGTGTCGTTTTCGTTTGAAATGTCGTTTACAAGTTAATAGTACTCTTATAGTCTAGTTTCAGTAGCCCCCAGTCCCACTGATTCACCCAGTGTCAGACGAGGACTCGTGCAGTTTTCTACTTGTGGTAAACTGCTCGCCGGACCACCCTAACCTCTCTTTTGCAGCATCCCTTCTTGTGTTGCACTTTCCTGTCCGAGTATGATTACTGTTCCAGTCCCCGCTCCTGTCCCGGTCCTGTTCCGGCCGTGTCCTGGTCGAGTCCCGTTCCTGTCCAGGTCCCGGCCCTGCCATGGGCCTATCCAGCTCCACCAACATCGGAGGCGTGTAGACTTCAAAAAGGAGGTCCCGGCCCTGAAGGAGGTGTCCGTCTTCTGTGTGCTGACGCCCTGGTAGTGGCACTTCTACAAGGGAGGTCCGGCCCTGAAGAAGGAGGTGCCCGTTTCCACAGTGTCGCCCCAGTGGAGCCATCTCAAGCGGCATGAGCTGATGATCACTGTTCAGGGTTTTATCCCATTAAAGAAGGTTTTCCCTGATCCTTTGCCAAATGGGGTGGATCATTACTGAGATCCAAGTTTCCAAATTTAGACATTAAATTTCAAAACTGCGAATGCCTTGTCTTAGTTTTTGGGTGGTTTGTGACCTCTTCAAGGAGAAGGAGGTGTAGTTCTAGTATTAAAGGCACTAAACCAGTAGTTCAAGTACTGCGGTCATTCTCATGACTGGCCGCCCCGAGTCAGCCTAGCCTCGCACAAGTCCTTCGCAGTGTTGTCCTTAGTAACGCCTAACAGTCAAGCCACGCGCTGGCTTAGTCTTGTCCCGACCTCGAGCCAGACTACACCTGTACCGAGTTCCTCAATAAATCCCTTGGTTCTCAGCATAACATCGTTTACTTCTTTCTTCTTTCAGTCCAGAACCTTACAATATGATGCTGGGGCAACATCTCAAGCAGGTAATTGTGGCCAAATAGCTCTTTCACAAACAATGAAAACAAAGTAGAATATAATTATGAAGATTAAAAGAAAAAAATGCACTCAGCAAGGTAAAATAATTTTCAAGAATATAAAAAGCTGTGTGACTGATTAATATTTCCTATTTCAGGAAATACTCCAAGCAAGAGTGGGAAGTCAGATTCAGATGCTGAATCGACTCAAGACACTGCTGATGTAGAAGAAAAAAGTTCCAACGGAAGGGGGATAAGCTTAACGCCTGCAAATTCTGCAAATATGTCGGGACTGGCAAGCTGGACAAGCACTTAGAGGCTAAACATACGAATGAGGAAGAAGTCAAACAACTTATCAAATACAGAAAAGGCCCTGCCGTCCAGCTTGTCAGTGAAGATGATATAGCTGCTGACAATAGGAGAGAAAAAAAAAGCAGAAATATTGCAAAAATTACGGAATGACGGCATGCATAGGCACAACATGCTCTTAATTCAAAAAGGAGCAGTATAATCAGACCCGCATAAGAATGTATTGCTGACGAAAAGAAGAGAAGTTGCTCCTAGAAAGCAACACGAAGTTCTACCCTGCACAGAGTGCAAATGATTTGTCAGTCGCCACAAACTGGCAGTCCAAATGAAAAGAAAACACACAACAAATAGGCCTGGTCGGAATGCTCAGATGAAGGCTAGTGCTTCTATGCCAGTGCGTGCAGAGACGTCAGATGACTTCAAGGAAAATATATTGGATCGTCTACAATTGGACCCCATCAGATTAATAGTCCGAAACGACCCACTTATCAAACTTGGAGGAAAAGAGTTCGAGAAGGTGAATAGCGTGGATCATCCAAAGGCACTCGAGACCGTTAGAGTAGGGCGTCCCACTTACAGCGAAATTGACATATTTGAAGCGGACCTGGGCTCAAACGGTTAGTTTTGGTTCGTAGATTACGGATCCGACAACCTTCTCACTGTGTGACCAACCACGGCTGTGCCCCAAGTGCAGCATTTTTCGAACGTCAAATTTTTCGGAGGCGAAAACGGCCTTAAACTAGTTCGGCGATTCTGTGGTCTTATCAAGGTGAAACTTTTGTCCATTTTAGCGTATCTCGAACCGTTTAGGCGCTACGGGACCCGGGGGAGCGCGCCATGTTCTATATAATATTTCTCCAGATGAGTTCCGTGAAAATCCAACCATGTACAAGCCTCTCCGCATCCCTGAGAATTATGATCAGTCAATGGAGAAAGCAAAGACAGAATGGCTTGCATTCAGGGAGAAAGCCTTAACTGCCGAATCAAAGAGGAACCAAAGGTTGTTGAACAGGACTCGAGCTCCAGGTAGTAAAGGAACCACTAAGAAAATTTTAGCGAAGTCCACACTTCAGAAGCTAAAAGTCATAAACCATCGAGGGGTCAAGTACCGTCCCTCACCTTTCAATTCCACAAAGCTCAAGGTCTGGTCCTTCTTTATGTCCGTTTGTATTGTTCACGACTTCTGGGAAGGCATTGCCAAAAATATGCTCCCAAAAATTCTGTCAACATTTGTTGATAAGGGTTGGTTTGACTTGGATACGCTGAATAGAAGAATTGAGTCCTTCCATTACGCAGGTTCAGACAAGGCTGATGCACCACCAACACGACTAAAATCCCTTGACTCATTGGGTGGAAATGCTTCAGAGAACAGGAACTTGTTGACCTCATAGAAGATCAAAAAGATGAAATGTGGCAGCTTTATCTTCAGTTCAAAAGTCATTGCTGAGTATGTGTTTGCTCCATCTATTACATTTCAGCAAGTTGTATTTGAAGAGGCCGATTTTTGAATATTTAAATGAGGATAAGAGATTTGTTCAAGAGTGTGACTTTGTACTAAATTACCCGTAAAATGAGACATTACCCGTATTTCTGGGAAATAACGATAACGAACTGAAAGTGGCTGTCATTTTTAGAACGCCTACGTCCGCGTATCTTTGGTCGCCACAGGTGTTTGAAGGCGGTCTGCCCATCCTCGTCCTCGTCCTGGACGTCCTCACCGCGTACCTCACCGTGAGCGTGGGGGACGTCCTCAACCTCTACGAGGCGATTCCAAGGATTGGCGCCTACGCGGGGGGCGGGGTAGACCTGGTCCCGAGGGTGGTGGGTGAAGCCCTCTTTCTACCGTCCGCGCGGCAGAGATGAAGACAGCATTCGATTAGCTCGCCGAATTGCATAAAAGCGGGCCGCTGCATGTCGCCGCCACCAGTCAGCGTCCAGTTCGCTGTCGGAAGTTGCGCTTGGTGTATTTGGAGTATTGGAGAAATTACATCGCAGTGTCAATATGCCGAAATGCGGTGTGTTCTTACTATGGAAAGATATTTTGAATCTTTTCGGCGATGTGAGCCATTAAAGCCCAATAAAAGACGATTATAGGAGGGCTTTATGGAGCGACCTTCACTATGGAGACCGTTTACTGGTTGCTCCGTTTTGTTACCAGAATGGTTATGATTTGAACCTGCCAAAACAGTTCTTCCGACGCCGCAATAAAGATAAGCGTCGCATCCTAAAAATGAAGCAGCCGTACGATTATTGGAACCACCATGAGAACAGGTTGCCTCGCATACCTAAATGGCCAACTTAAGGAAGCACAACACCAATATTTCATTCAATAGAAAGGCAATATAAAGACTAGCTATATGTACGCCAGACCACGTCTCGCGTAACAGGCTTCGCGATATCTCACGAAACACTGTTACGCTGCGACGCGCCTGGCGAACACATAGCTAGGCCTGCGGCGCTGACACCCGAGACGAGTTAATGGGACGGTTTTCATTAAAGGTTCGAATTTTGACAGATTGTTGTGTAACAAGCAGGCCCGCCCTTCCGCCAAACGAAGTTGCCAGCTCCGCTTCGCCGGCAACTCCGTTCGGCAGGGGCCGGGCCTGCTAGGCCTGCCGGCGGCGATGGTCGGGCCTGCGGCCCGACCATTTGTCACGCGATTTGCTGAAGAACATAATCAAATGATGTAACGAGCCTTCGGCCCGCAAAGCCCGTCGGCCTTAAAATTTGCCCCGTAGACACGAAAAAGGGATGTAACGGTGAAGCACCGCGACTACAACCCACCCTT